TCTTAGTTAGAGGAGCTGTCCAGGACGCTCTCCACGGGCCGCCGCACGTAGACAAGCTGGGGTTCTGATCAGATGGACACACAGAACCACACGTGTGTGTGTGTGTGTGTGTGTGTCCTGTGAATGTTTAGATCCCGGGAGGTTTTGATTGGTCGCTCAGACTGTGTCAAAGAGTTCTGTTTTTTTTTTTCCTACTTGATCTGAAGGACGTTCATTGACGTTAATGATTACGGAGCCTGTAATTAAGTGGATCGTTCAAATGAATTGTGTTGCTCTGGTCTGGTTGTTAAATATTACAGCAGATTAAGTTGACCTCTGACCCCTCCACAGATCTGATCAGGATCAAAGTTGTGGTTAAAAAAAAGCAAAAACAAGGAAGGATGGAGGGAAGGAAGGATGGAAGGTGAAGTAAAGTACAGAAGTTTGTACTTCTGGGTGTGTGTGTGTGTGTGTGTGTGTGTGTGTGTGTGTGTGTGTGTTCCTCACTCACTGTATAATTCAGTTGCCCATTAAAGCTCGTTGACAGAGTGTGTGATGTCCCTGGACGGTGTTCGTAGTGTGTGTTAAATCTCTTCCTCTTTGCGTCCCAACACTCACACACACACACTCACACACACTCTCTCCTGCAGTGATAGTGAGGTGAACTGATGTGAACGTTGCTCCAGAGTTTCTGTGTCTGAAGAACTTTTCCTGTTATGAGCTCGATAAAAGAAGGTGTCCTCTGTCCCTCTGTCCCTCTGTCCCTCTGTCCCTCTGTCCCTCTGTCCTCTGTCCCTCTGTTCTCTGTCCCTCTGTCCTCTGTTCCTCTGTCCTCTGTCCCTCTGTCCTCTGTCCCTCTGTTCTCTGTCCACACCGATCACCAGTTAATGAGACGACACACGAAACATTTGTCCTTTAATGATCCCATAACATGTTGATGTAACAGCAGATGTACTTCTGCAGGCTGCCCCTTGGTGGCGCCAAGTATGTGAAACCTAGTCTGGTCTAGTCTGGCCTATTGTAGGTTATTCCAGGTCATTCCAGGTTTTTCCATGTTATTTCAGGTTGTTCTATAAAACATAACCTTTCCATTCTGATGGTCTCTTCAGTGGGTTTACAGCGACCCCTGTCTCCTTGAAATAGAAGTGCAGCATGAACTCGAGGGATTTAATTCTTCAACCCTGATCTGATCGTCTCAGCTGCTCGCTCCACGGTGACCACAGGTCACATGACGTCTCTATAACTGAGCCTTCTCCTTTGGTTTCCTGTGTAATGAAGAGCTCGACTTCCATTTGTTTCACACATCACGAAACACCCACCCCAGCCTCCCCCTCTCTCCCCCTCTCTCTCTCGTCCTTCAACTAAACATAGTCAGATGTGGAGTCAAAGAGGAAGCAGGAGCAAAATATAACATCAAACACACATATGTTGTACGCCCACACACACACACACACACACTCACACAATCATTCAGTCGGTGAAACAAGCCTGTTGAGTGGCAGTTAGCACCTATTCTGCAGCCATGGCAACCAGCTCCATGGCGATAGATGGTGCAGCCAAGTGGGTCAGAGTCTGTGAGCGTGATAACCTTGGAAAGATCACCTTCAAGACAAATATTCTACACACACACACACTAACACACACACTTTCATCTCTCCTGCAACAAATGCTGCGTCTTCTGGCCCAGATGGGCTGCATCCAAACCTGATCTACTGGCTTTCATGCTTTGGAGCGGACCAGAGCAGGACTGGGTTTCACAGCTCAAATCCACCGTCAACACAGACCGTCACGTGACCGGGTGTCGACCAACCAGCGTGACACGTTCCAAGTGCCCTCCAGCTGCAGCGCTGTCGTCCCCTGGTGGTGAACGCACTCATCCTCAGGCACACAGAACCGTGTGCCAATTATTCACCGACTCTTGTGTGAAAAGCTGAGCCCCGGACCTCCTGATAGGATGGAGCATGAATCAGCTAACAGCTAACAGCTAACAGCTAACAGTCGCTACCATTCATCTGCTCCGTGAGAGCCTTGAAAAAGGAGGGGAATGGACTCTGTCTGGGGAAAAAAAGAATTACGTCCTCACCTCATCAGGTGTGAGATCCTGGGTCGGGGGGGGGGTCGAAGTTCACAGCTATAAATATGAGCTAAAAAAAACATCATGTTCTTCTAGTGATTCCAAATGTAGATCCCTCTTAGATTTAATACTTTAGCTCCTTAGATCAGAGGTCAAACATCTTAAAGGATCTCCAGGATTCTCCAGGATTCTCCAGGCCCTCTGACCTGGTTCAATACGGTGTGTTCTTTGACAGTGTGGACCAGTCACAGAGTAAAGAACCCAGCGGTCAGCAGCAGAGCTTCACACACAAACACCAGAACACAGTGTGTACAACAGACGTCGCCCCCCAGAGACCAGAGCTGCTGTTTACACCTACGCAAATAAAGACCGCCAGACGTGCAGTACTACAGTACTACAGTACTACAGTACTACAGTACAACGGGCTGCGTGTGTGTGTGTGTGTGTGTGTGTGTGTGTGGAGTCCCGTATATTTAAACCATCAACCCATTCCTGGGGGGCAGTGGTTACTTTTAGAAGCGGACCAAGGGAATTGGTTCTTGCTCAACACACCACAGCTGGCTGAGGTGGGAATTGAACCTGCGATCGTCTGATTACCGTTGGGCTGCAGACGGTGGATAAAAACTGTTGGGTTTTTTTGTTTGTTTGTTTGTTTTTATGAAGGACAGTGACAGAAATCCACAGTGAACTTGAGCTCTGAATAGTTGCAGCTGTTTCTGGAAGGTTCTAGTGCCTTTGAAGGTCACTGAGGTCAGAATGGATTTATTTAAATCTGCATCATTTTGAACTTTCTGTCTGTCTTTCTTTCTTTCAGGTCTACCGTAGGAAGGCGGTGGAGCTGGGTGAGAAGCTGCTGCCAGCCTTCAAAACACCGACTGGCATCCCCTGGGCTCTGCTCAACCTCAAGAGGTAGAACCCACACACACACACACACACACACCGACACACACACACACTGACACATGAAATCTCTCACAGACACACGCACACTGCAGCAGTGTTCTGACGGCTGCAGACGTTAAAGGAGCTCTGTGCTCTGAGGCCTGATGTGAGGCTGGCAGACAGAGGTTGTTTCAGTTCCACTCTGACGCTGCACTGAGCCAGAGATGTTCCAGATTTACATGAGAGAGCTGAGCTGTCACACAGACGCTGTGTGGTTCCTGCTGCCCACAGTCGCAGTCAGTGTTTATATGACCTCAGCCTGGAACTCATTATGATGACGTTTAAGAAAAACAACAACGTGGAAGACGAATGGAAAAATCAAGTTTCCAAATAATCCAGTGTTAACTACAGTACAACCTGTACTTTGTTCATAATAACAACAACAATAATAATAATAATAATAATAATAATTATTATTATTATTAATAATAATAATAATTATTATTATTATTAATAATAATAATAATTATTATTATTATTATTATTATTATTTTATTATTATTATTATTATTATTCTTATTACTGAGTTCCTCCTTCGTCCCATAATAGGGAAATTCACAGCGCGAGTCTTTGCAAACCACACAGGCTGCCACAGGAGGCGCCATTAGGGATATGTGGTTCCTCTGGGACTCGAACCCAGGACCCTCTGTGTGTGTAAGGCAAAGGCACTGGCCACTTCATTTATTATCGCTGTAACTGTCTTAGTGACAAACCCCACTCTACAAAAAGTCGGACTTTTAAAGAGGTCAGAACTTTTTCCTCGTTGATCAGTTGAGAAGAAAATCAGTTCATTACGAACACACTCCCTGTAACCTTGACCCACATCAGACTCCGAGCAGTAACAGACCCAATTACTGTTCCGCTCCCCTCCTTCCTCTTGTCCGTTGTATTCCCTGATTTCCTTCAACGTTTTTATCTGGGCCCGTCCTTCAGCGTCTCCGTCCATCTTGTCTCCTCTGACCCGTCACCTCCCTCCTGATTCAGAACCTTACGGTCCGACCCTCCTCTGTTCCCTGTTTTTTGGTCGTGTCTCATCCTGCTGTGGCCTCCAGTCATCCACAGAGTCCACAGAAACCAGGACATGGTTTAAATCCACTTTCACACTTGTGAAAACTCAGCTTTTCATCCAGGATGAATGCAAACTTCACACTTCAAACTCAGCTTTTCATCCAGGATGAATGTGGTCCTCACCTCACCGTGTCGATGCCAGGGCCACGGTTCTGGTCCTGGACCTAAAAGGACCCGGACCTTCAGAAACCTCAGTGTAAAACATTGATTTGCACAAAGTGGGTGGAAAACGCAGCTGAAATGTGATTTGTCCTGATTGATCATGTGGGGCCTGGACCAGAGCCGATCTGTTGGCTCTGGATCAGAACGTTCATCCTGTGATCACAGGAGTAGAACTCTTGGTCTGCTGCCTCTGAACAGCCAATCAAATAAATGACTGCCCTGAAAGGAAATGTTGTGACTCACTGTGAGCACAAAGAAAATAAAAACAAACAAAAAAAACAAAGTCTGGACAAAGTTGTAAACGTTACTTTATTGGTTTTAAACGTGCCAGGGAATAAACACAAAGTCCTTAGAACTGTTCAGAACTGTTCTTCAGAAAATCAAAACCAAAGTCTGGCTGTGGCTGAAGTCACTAAACGGTGACAAAGGACAAGGTTTCAGAGGACGAGGGTGCAGTTAGGGACAGAACCACAAAGTACACGGAGGTTCTGATTGGTCTGATGGAGGACGGAAGTGTTTTTTTTTATGGATTAGGATTAGGCGTGCAGGTGGACACTCTTATTCTGTCAAATTATATACATACATGTTGTCGGTGAAGGATTAGCTTTTCCTGTTTAGCGGCTAACATTTTGAATTACAGTGGCGCTTTGGCCCAGAGGCAATGTCTCGTCGTTGGTGTGGAACCCCAGGGTTCACCTCCTGGGCAAGTTCCAATCCCGGTCAGGGTGTTTGGTACCTTCCAGTGGACTCGGTACGGTGCAGGGTGATTTGGGTGGAGACTGCTGCCCCCGCGACTCGGTAACAGAAAAGCAGACAAAGATGGATGGATTCACAAATAGTCTTATTTAATTAAAATGGTTTAAATCTTTGCTGAGGAGAAACGGGACCTGCAGCCGACTGTGGCAACGCTACAGTTTTTCAACCTTGTCATTGGATTTTCTGGTTGTTTTTTTTTTTTCCTCCCATGATATAGTGGTTTAAATCCAGTTACAACACCCTGACAAATGCATCTTGTTCCCTGAATAAATGTATTTGTATATGCATGGCAGGTCGAAGCAGCGTCAGTATAATCTGAAGAATCACGGTGAGAATTCTCGGCACCGCTGGCCTTTTGTGATGCAGGACGAGCCGGGCCTGGAGTCAATCTGTTTACTTTTCCTATTATCTTCTGCAGACTTTGCTCTTTCACAGAATAAACCAGCTTTGGTGTTTATCAAAGTGTGAGCACGACTTTTAGGTTCCATAATAGAATGCATAAACTCAACGCAAAACCTCTCCATCCTGGAAACTGCTGCAATAAGGGAAATATTATCTTAACACTGCTGCAAAGTCACAACCTACTTTTTTTTTTTTTTTTTTTTACCCCTTATCTGCCAGTTTTAACAAAGTCACCTTCAGGCTCCTCTGCTCCTCAGATTTTTTTTTTTTTTTTTTCGCTGTCGCACAGCTACATATTTGGATAAAAGATGTGAAAATTAACATCTTATAATTCCGACCTGTACTGTACCTGTTAGGAGTGCAGGGTTTTAAAATATATATTGTAGTAAAATACAATGTCAATCAGTTTCTGGTTTGTCTGTAGAACAGAGTGTCATCAACGTAGCAGCAGAGCTGAACTCACAGAGTTAATTAATGACGTAAATCCCGAGCCTCGAATTAATCTTAATAACTCGGTGCATGGTGCAGTGGTTTCTGGGTAGTCTGCCTTAACCAGGGAAAAGTTGTTTTGTTTTTGTTTTTTTCCCAGCAGTGCAGAAGCTAAAAAAAAAAAAATCAAACTCATTTGTAAGAGCTTAATGCTGCAGTTAGAGCCTAAGAGGAGTTTAGTTTGGTCAATAAAAATGTAAAAAGCCAAGCCAGTGAAAATGTATTCAGCCTCTAAAGTCTGATTTCTGGCCACAAAAGTTTGACACGTCCTCACTTAGTCACAAATCTGCAGTTATTGGAAAATGAAGTGAGCAGAGTGAAGTACCGCGGAGCAGTTGATTGTCTCGGGTCATAAACTCTGCTGCGTCTGAACCTCCAACCTCCAGCAGTCATGAAACTTCAGAGGAACGTTCTCCGTCAGTCAGCTGTGGACCTTCAACTGGACTGGACTGGACTGGACCTTCAACTGGACTGGACTGGACTGGACTGGACTGGACCTTCAACTGGACTGGACTGGACTGGACTGGAATGGAATGGAATGGCCTGAACTGGACTGGACTGAACTGGACTGGACCGAATTGGTCTAAACTAGACTGGACTGGACTGGACTTGGCTAAACTAAACTGGACTGGACTGGTCTAGCCCCAGGGCTCCTGGCAGCACTGCGCTGACCCGTGTATTCACTAGGCCTTCCTCTGGACTAGACCTTCAACTGGACTGGACTGGACCTTCAACTGGACTGGACTGGAATGGACTGGACTGGACTGGACTGGAATAGACTGGACTGGACTGGACTGGGCTGGTCGGAGACCAACAGGACGTGGACCATAAAGTCACAGGTCTCAGCCTGGACTAGTGAAGGAGTGTTCACTCTCCCTCCTGCCTGGGTCGTCTCTCCTCAGCACTCACCCCTGAGGGGGGGGGGGGAGACACCCAGGATTTAGGAGCTCTAATTAAGTCTAACTGTGAATCCATCGCCGTCCACATTTTCTCAGCGCCTGCAGGAGAAGCTGGATAGATTTTCAGACAGAGGGGGAAGAGATATGGAGCTGAGTGAAAAAAAAAGTGAGGGGGGGGTGAGAGTGGGGTCATGACCCGGACGAGGACAGAGCTGAAGAGGGAGTAATGACTCAGAGTGATAACAGAACACAGGAGGAGCACGTGCACGTGCATGTGCACGAGCGCATGCTAATTTACAGCCGCGGCAGGAATTTCCCCGTGTTTTCAGGTTTACAGCTCGGTACGTCGGAATTCAAATCTGGCCCCGACAGCGAGGAGCGCCGGGTGTAAAAACGATACAGCCACGATTCCTCATTTTAAAGTCTGCCAGGGAGAAGAAAAAAAAAAAGACCAGCTACAATATAAAAAAGAAAGAAAGAAAGAAAGCATGTAAAAGGAAGTGGATTATATCCAGCAGTGTGAAGGAGCCGGGGTGATTTCCAGCTGGCATCAATCTGTAATGACCCACTTCCTTTTCTGGGTCGAGGTTATATGTCCCTGTCTGTCTGCTGCAGCCCGCAGGCTCCGGCTGATTCTCCGTTGAGAATCAACCGGAGAAGAGGACGGACCAAATGTCGGATAAGGCTCCGGTTGATTCTCCGTTGGAGAAGAGGACGGACCAAATGTCGGATTTCATCCGTCACTGGTTTCACATTTAACACCGAGTTAAAAAAAGTCACACCCAAAAAGTCACACCCAACAGTAACTGTAGAATATTCCCCAGATCTGAGATGAAAAGACGCTGAGGAGACGACGGTGTTTGTTGAAGTAAATGGAGAGGATGACATCACACCTGCGGACAGGAACTTCCTGCTTCTGTTCCAGAGAAGCTTCCACCCCGTTAGAGCCCACGCTCTAACGACAGAGTTTTCTAAGACAACAGGTCCAGGTTCATGGTTTTTGAAGGTGGCAGTTACATCTGCTTCTTCCAGCAGGATTATCAAGATTGATTGACAGCCAACCTTACTCTCCGACTTCCTGCATTTTCTAAAAGACTTGAGGGACGTGGACTGGCCGTATTCACTCAGCTGTGAGTTTCACCTCCAGTTAGACGACAGATTTATTTGAGGGGTTTATAAAGAGATCACATGGACGGGTCTCGGTGTTCGGCGTCACCCTCCTGTAACAACACTCTTCTCCACCGTCCCACCGTGTCGCCCTCTCTCTGTTAAATGTTTGCACTTGTAATTGTTAGATACAATATCCTATTTTCTTGTCCGCTGCCGTCCGGAGCTCACAATCAGGAGAGTGGATCTAATCAGGGTCCCCCGTTCTCCTGCTGCAGCTCCCCCTCCTGTTGGTGGACCAGATTAAATCCATGGTGTAATGGGAAACAAATGATGGCCTGTGCTGCTTGATGAGTTGAAGGAGGATAATTAGTACCTTCACCCATTCACTGTGTGTGTGTGTGTGTGTTTGGATGGCTCTTCTGCAGCTCCTCTCTCCTCCTCCTCCTCTGTTTGTCATTTGTTAGATGTCGCTCCTCTTCTGCTTCATCCGTGTGTGTGTGTTTGTGTTTGTGCGTCCACAGCCCGGGCTGTCCACGTTCCCATGTTTTATTCATCCCACTACAGACATCCCACCGCGTGTTCCTCGCTGTAGTAAACGACTACACGGGTAGTTAAGTGAAGTATCACCAAAAGAGTCATCAGCTCCTGGCTGGGAATCGATCCGTCATTGTTCGACTAGTCATGTTTTATTCAGGGCTCTGGGCTGTGGGCTGCGGGCTGCACTCCGTGGGCTTTGAAGCGGCCCAGTAGAACGGTAGAACGACCAAAGCTCTGTGGGTTTCTGACCTCCAGTGACCTTCAGTTGAACGCGTCACGTCAGGATCCTCGACAGTTTTACTTTAATGACATTGTTTTCTTGTTTTGTTTTTTTTTTTTTTGCGCAGCGGCATCGGCAAGAACTGGCCGTGGGCGTCCGGCGGCAGCAGCATCCTGGCCGAGTACGGAACCCTGCACCTGGAGTTCATGCACCTCAGCCGACTGTCTGGAAACCCGGAGTTTGCTCAGAAGGTAACAGGAGCCGACGGTTCTCTGCAGGAACCCGCTTTAGTTCAGCGTGTTTTTGTTCAACACCGCGTCCTGTTCTCCTCCGTTCTCAGGTCATGAACATCAGAAAAGTCCTCAACCGCCTGGACAAACCTCAGGGGCTGTACCCCAACTACCTGAACCCCAACAGCGGCCAGTGGGGCCAACGTAAGTCGTCTTCTCACCTGCCTGCTGCGTTATCTTTCCAAAGAAAAACGAATGAACCTGTAGAAATAAAAAGGGTCACATTTGGCACGAGCGGCAGTGACCAAAGGCTGGAGTGCGAGCCTCGTGTTGAGCATAAACTACAGTAAACTGTGTTAAGTGGTTGGAGGTTGAACAAAAGGATGAGTTTGAATAATGAGGCTTCATGTTGTATCATTTATATTCCTATTATGTTTGACTGTTTTGCTCATGTTCCCTGGTTTTATCATCTGTTATTCTTTTGATAATCAGATAGAATGGAAAAGTGAGCGCCGACTCATGAATTATTACCACGTCAGAGGCTTTGATGTGGGATAAACCCACACTCGTTTCCTTTATTATTTTATCTACACTCAGGCTTCAGTAGAGCGGCGCCCTTCCCCGTGTCCCCTCTCTCTCCCCCTCCTCCCCCCCCCCCCCCCCCCTCCCCCCCCCTCCCTCTCCCCCTCCTCCCCCCCCCCCCCCCTCCCCCCCCCCTCCCCCCCCCCCCCCCCTCCCCCCCCCCTCCCCCCCCCCCCCCCTCCCCCCCCCTCCCTCTCCCCCTCCTCCCCCCCCCCCCCCCTCCCCCCCCCCCCCCCCCTCCCCCCCCCTCCCTCTCCCCCTCCTCCCCCCCCCCCCCCCTCCCCCCCCCCCCCCCTCCCCCCCCCTCCCTCTCCCCCTCCTCCCCCTCCTCTCACTCCTTTCCTCCGTCTGAACCTCGTCTGAACCTCAACCACTCACTTCACTCTGCCTCAAACCCACAATTGACCCAAATCACTGTCACTACGTTCCCACGCGCTCCACTCCTACCTGCTGGATTTAACGCCAGCGTTCGCACAGACGCGCGCGCATTCACTCCGCCGCGTGAATGACAGGCAGCGGCAGACGCCTCGGTGTATAATCATGGAGCCATTATCAAAGTCCTCAAAGTCAGTGCAGCTGAGGCGGTCAGGATGATAATGACAGAGGGCTGACGGAGGGGTGAGGGACCTGCAGGAGCAGGGGGGAGAACAGAGGGCAGAGAAGGTAAAATAACAGCTGGAGAACTTACATTACAGCCAATAACAGAGAGTGGCAGAAGAAAACGGCAGCGCGGGAGAAATAAGTCTCTCCGTGTCAGCTGTCATGTGGCGGGAAAACCTGTCAGCTCAACGTCGGGGAATGAAACTGACACTGACAGTAACAGGAGTGAGTGGAGATGAGATCTACATCCATCCCATAAACCTGCGCTCCGTCACTCCTGCTGCAGACGCTGGAGTCCTGCAGGAACCCACAGAGAGTTACAGGAACCACAGCTTTACACCATCAACCACTGGTGCAGGGACAATAATAATGATGATGGTGAAGCTAACGTTAGCCCTGGTGTCTGTACCAGGACTCTTGTAGCTAACGTTAGCCCTGGCGTCTGTACCAGGACTGTTGAAGCTAACGTTAGCTCTGGTGTCGGAACCAGGACTGTTGTAGCTAACGTTAGCCCTGGGGTCTGTACCAGGACTGGTGTAGCTAACGTTAGCTCTGGTGTCTGAACCAGGACTGTTGTAGCTAACGTTAGCCCTGGCGTCTGTACCAGGACTGTTGAAGCTAATGTAGCTCTGGTGTCTGTACCAGGACTGTTGTCGCTAACGTTAGCTCTGGCGTCTGTACCAGATCTGTCATTCATCTTGATGATGTAGTGTTCATATTAATCCTCGGTTCAGTTCCCAGAAGAAACATTTCCGTCTTTGAGTCAAAGCAGCAGATTCTTTGGAGGTTAAGTTCACAGCACTTTTCAAATTAAAGTCCAATCTTCAGGAAGTCTTAACGACATTTTAATTGAAAATTGGCAGAAGCCGCAGAGTCAGCGCCGGCAACCAGACACACCGTCAGTGGAAGTGATTAGTGAACCTGCTGTGGACCAGGCAGCGTGAAGTTCAGGAAAATGAATCCGAGAAAAGAACAGACTCCGACGGGACTGTCAGGAACGCTGGCCTGGAACCATTGAGTCATCTTTGATAATCCACCCTCCACACTCTTGAATATTCCTGTAATTGTATTTAACTTGTCAAATATTGTCTTTGCCCCCCCCCACCCC